CACTCTTTCTGACATCCTCTGCTGCAATGAAACTGAGGTAATGTTCTCATGATCTATCAGAGGATGACATGGTCATTAAAACTTCAAAGGGATTTTGTCCCCAGAAATACACCGGGGAAGGGATAGAGCCATGTTCTTGTTACTGGGCTTCTGGAGGTAGAAAGCAGGCCCCCTTGGGCTAGTAAGAAAGAAGAAATACTTTGTATCCCATTCAGATGACCCCTCTAGATGGCACTTGAAATAGAATTAATAGGTTCCAGAGAGAGCTGTGTTCTGCCCTCCTGGGGAGGGGATGAGTGAATAAAAGATCCATAAAAGGACACTTCTAAGATGTTTGCTCTAAATAATATGATACATATTAAAATAGCCCCACATTCCTGGCTCTGTGCTTCCTCTAGATGATTAGTGAGAATAACCTTAGCTTATAGAGTTGTGGCAGTTTCAAACTGCCTTGCCAGCAGGCAGTGTGCAGGCTGCATCTGAGGTGATATAGCAGCTTGGTATGCCCTGACCCATCAGTTATTTTCTGACTGCATATAAATGGGGGGTGTCTGTGGATTGCTGCCTCTTGCATACAACACTCAATCTCTGTTTTTTCCAGTTGTAGTTCAGTAGTTTCAAAATTTTCTCTCCTTTTTCCATCTACTTCCTACCACTGTCAGTATTTTATTTCTCCAAAAACATGTGATTTGGGGTCAGAAAGAAACAATTTGGGCTCATGTCTCATGAGGCTCTTGTTTGATTTTCCTGTTGTTTTTTGCTGTTACTGTTGCTATGTTTTCCTCCTCCTTTTTGTAACAGTTATGTGTGAGAAGGAGCCCAGTGGGTAAAAGCCATACACTGTGTGGTTGGAAGTTGTCCCTGCTGGACGTGACTTCTGTTTGAGATGTGTTGGGCGTTAGGGAAAGCTATGACTCAGCTGGCTGTGGGATGTCTATACCAATGCAAGTGGCTGCAGGTTGCCAGGATAATAATCACTTCAAAACTCAATTAGTCTCTTCTGAAACTTTGTGCTAAAACCAATTACAAGCTTGCCTCAGAGGACCCACTACACATGTCTTCTAGTGCTTCAAGAGTCTAAATGACCTCAACTGGACATCAGAGCTGTGTGTTAGGAAAACCTCTTCCAGTGGGTCAAGGTAGACCTCACCACAGCATTTAGACATCAACAAAGTTATTGGCTATTTCTTACAAGATCAGAGTCGTTGCATTTCACTAAGACTATGGATGCTGATGTTTCCAGCACAATTGAAAGTGATATCTCTTGTGACTTGTATCTAGCAGCCATCACAAAGCAACTGTAAAAGGTAGTAGGAGCCATGATGAGGGAATGTTCATTCCTATCTAGGAAATTAGTGTTATAGAAATCTAGAGTTCTCTGCCTGCTTTTACAAAACATTCAGGCCTGGTCTTTGCTTTAGGTCACTATTCTAGGAATGGTGCTACAGGTCTCCTTTTTGAGCAGGAAGCACCCTTATTCCCTTGCCCCTGTAGTAAATGTTATGCCGGGAGGTTCTGTTGTTGTTGGGTTTTCCAATGTTGGTATTTATTTGTTTGTCAGAGGGATCAGGCAAACTCATTTTTTGTTACTAGTTTAGACCTGGTTTTATTCTCTCATTGCTCCTTCCAACAAGTATGCTAAAATTTGTAGTTGGCATTTCTTGCTGCCAGATAGTGTTGTTTTGTTTTTTTTATAGAGGCTTTCCTTAAGATTTTTTTAACCTGCTGGAGTCAGGGTATATTATTACCACTGTGTGGTGAAAAGAAAATTAGTTCCTTTCTGAGAACAAGAAGTGCCACTGTATAATTATAATAGATCCCCACTCACTCACCCACCTTCCCTGCAGAGGTACGGGTACAATTTACATTCTTTATACTTTTTAGTGTTAGCTTAAAAAATAACCATCAGTGGGAGACAGAAGGGCTTATTCTTATACCCTATCAAACAGAAGAATATGCCCTCTGCTGTTTAGGAGGTCTGTCCACTGTAAAAGACTAAATCTACTGCCAGAGACTTGTTTAGGAGCCCAGACCCAATAGTGGTATTCTAAATATATGACCTGCTAAGAACAAGAATTACAGCTAATCATTTTGTTTGTAATTTATTATTTGTATTAGCAACCTTCTGCACTTTCAAATATAATCCATTTCCTTACCAGAAGCATGATAATTGACAATATCTTTTTTTTGTCTTGTCTCTGCATACTGATTTTAGAATTTATTTTCAGGGAATAGCTTCTTATCATAGTTAACTTATTTTTGTTAAGAAAATGGGAGCAGGGAAGCATTTGTTTTCCCTATGTCAGAAGTTTAAAAGGTATTTTATTTTAATATCTTTTAGCAAATGTTGTCTTTCCAGGCACCATCTGTTTTCAGTTTCCTTTCAGGACTACTTTAAATTTTGAATTGTTTTAATATAAAGAACTATACTCGTACACTTACATAAGGGCCATTGGTCATTAATGTAAATTCTTTTTAAAGGTGGCATTGGCATATCTCAGTTACTACAAATTCTGCACCATAAATGTTGTAACTGAAATACAGTGGCTTAAATGACAGTCTCTGTTATGCCAGTTTAAACCCAAAGGCATAGGGCAGCTTTGTGGCCTGAGTAGCAGCAGCACACAGGGCAGTGCCAGCTGCTGCACTTCTGGTGGCGATTGCATAGCCAGCTGCAGTAGTAGCTAGTTTTGCACTGCCCCACTCCCCAACCAAGGCAGTGCCCAGGACTGCTGCCCAGTTCACCCCCATTAATTACACTACTGTTTAGATCTGTTGAATTCAGTGGAGTTAAACACTGGTATAATTAAGAAAAACATGACTCTCATAAATTTCTTTGCTGAGCTCTGTGCAAATGATATATCAGTAATAACAAATGCTTAGCATCAGTGCAAAGCTCAACTCAGCCAGTGTCAGTATAGGCAGTGTATATACAGGAAACCCTCACTAGTCACGGGTTCAGCATTCGTGGTTTCAAATATTCGCAAATGCCAAACCCGCTTCTTAAATACACTTAAAGGAGCTCCTTGGGAACTCTGTGCTTGCCGCTGCTGTGCTCCCGCCATTGCCAGAGCAGCCGTGCCTCCCCCCAGCCACTGGGGGCACTGAGTTCATGAACACAGATGGCATTCATGAATGCAGTGGCTTATTCGCAGATTTCTCCATTTGTGGGGGATACGAGAACGTATCCCCCGCAAATGGCAAGGGTCGCCTATACTGTAGTTCAGTATACATTGGGCATATCTACACATGGTCATTTAATGCAGATTAGCCCAATTTCAGCTGCATTAGGGCCACATATCTACACGTATACGCCCTTAATGCAGTTTTAAAATGGCAGTTTTAGGCTATATGAGTGTAGCAGGGAACCCTAGCCCAGTTACTAGGAGACAAGGCAGCTTCTTTAAGACCAGAGTCTTTAGAAACACCAAGTACTAGAAGGGTAGGGGTTAAAAGCCCAACCACACAGGCCGGTCAGCTGACTGGAAGGAGATAGGCCTCTGGGCACATATAAGCCCCAAGGCTGAGGCTGGCAGGAATTAGTCCTCTGGCAGCAGCCAGGAGGGAAGGAGCTCGAGCAGAGATGTTCTGTGGAGATGTTTGGTTGCCAGGTTTTGCTGCCCGTATGGAATATTAGGCCTGTAGAAGCCCTGAAGGTATTTAGGGCTGGGAAGGCCCTCAGTGCTAAGGGGGAAGTTTAGGGGTGTTTTTAGAGACAAAGTGAGAGTTATGTTATGTTATGTTATGTTATGGGCCAAGGGCTTGTTTTTTTTTGTTGTATTTTAATCTGGTGGACTGGGATAAGGCAAATTGGGGAGAAGGAAGCCTCACAGGAGCACACTGCGGTGTATACCACAGCGCCGGAGAGGGCACAGAGATAGGGCTACAGAGAGCTTGGCGCCAGGGAGGGTGCAGAGATAGGACTATAGAGAGCTCTACACCGGAGAGGGTGTAGAGATAGGGATTAAGAGAGCCCAACGTTAGAGAGGGACAAGAGGGCGTGCACGGCCAAATCGGAATTAAAGGTGATATTCTTTACATACCATCTGCAAGGCATGGGCTACTGTGTACGGGAGGCTTGGAGTGGTGAATAGTGGCCCCTGGTATCAGGGTAGTAAATGGGCAGCCTCCCGCCTGGGTAACATACTTATTTTTCCATCAAGGCATGGTCATGACAGGAAAGAAAGGTGGGTGGTTAGCCCAGAAACAGAGGATTAGGACAACATTGGACAGGCCCGGGGATGGCCCCTTGTCACAGTGAGCCTAAATTTCATATCTACACAAACCAAGTTTCAAATTTAAGTGGGATTATTTAGTACAGATTACCACATGTGTAGATGCATTACTCCACATTAACACAGGGAATTTAGTCCTGGGTCTTCCCAGCCACTAGGGGGCTGGACTGAATGCCTCTCCTCCCACAGGGCTGGGCTGCTCTCTGTATAGTTTGCCACTTATAAGTGGATTTTTTACTGTTGGTGGGTGGGGAAGGTGGTGGAGGGTTATCGTTTGTTGAGCGGGGAGGGGAGAGGGATGGGGATGGATGTTATGAGAGTAATAAAGTTTTTTTGTTTCAACCATGTGCGTGTCCTGAGAGTGGTGCCAGGGGCGGGCAGGGGGTAGGAGTAGGGTTGCCAACCCCCTGGGATTGCCCTGGAGTCTCCAAGAATTAGATATAGTTTCCAGGAGACTGCTGAGAGTTACCTGGGAGATAAATGATACGAAATTCATTAAAATAAATATTAAATGTTGAATCCAATTTATACGGTAGTCCAGTGGGTTTTTAAAATGTAACAGTAATGTACATTTGCATTTCTGAGTACAGTACAGTAGATCAGTCATAATGTCATTACATCATGCGATGAAACCTCCCAGAATAGATTCAAACAGAGTTGGCAACCATAGGTAGGAGGGTGTGGGCGGCAGGGTAGGCAGGCTGGAACAGGGAGTTCAGGATGGTGTATGGCTCTCCTGGGGCCTGGGCAGCGGGGAGGTGCTTGCTGGGGCCAGCAGGGCCAGCACCATGGCCACCAGGAG